GGCTTCGGTGTTTTTCTGAGCCAACTTGGCTTCTGAGCATAGAGGGCGCGATTCATTGAGCTAGACACACCTGGGTATATCACATGAGGTTTTAGGGCTTGTGGATAGATCCCCACAGAATTAGCCAAGCCCCTGAAATTAATGAAGAGTGAAGTCTGAAAGGAAAACATTTATATTGTGCTTTGAGTTGGAGACTGTTACTGAAGCCAACCGATCATCTGTGGGACTTGACAAGCTGTGCTGTGGCTTGGAAATGCAGTAAGTGATGTTGTCCACCAGGGAGTTCTACATGTGCTGAGATGGTGTGTAAAAGGATGTGTTGGGCAGCTCATGAGTAAATTTTCATACTGAGATGAGCTGAAGTTGTTGCAAAACCCCTCGTCAGTGATGCTGAGTGTAGATGTTCAGGGCCTTGCATGCAAAAACAAAGCACAGATTGTCCACATTGCTTAGTGTCTCAGTTTGCTAAAGACTTGCTTTAGATAAGGGTTAGCAGGCTGCTCTTCTTTACTGCCTCTGGAGGCAGTACAGTCTTAAGCACAGGATTAAGAAACTGTCTGCAGAATTGAGGCTTTATTGGTATGTACAATACCTTGCATTGATCCATTTTAAATGGAGACTTGGAAAATCCATCTTGTATGTCTTGTCAGCACACTATTCTGGAATCGAATCTTTGCTGCAAGAATCTTATTCCAAGGGATTAGATTTGTGGGTTCCCAAGGAAAGCTGTATACCAGGAAGATGCCAGTTGTGGTGCTCCTGTCTCTGGGATACAGAAACCCAGCTTGACAGTGCTGCACAGTCAGTGAGGAGAGATTCCTACACTGAAATCCCAGGAAGGGCACTGATGTATGCGGCTGTTGAAATGGGTAGAAATTGAAGGAACTCTGTATAAAAGCATCAGTCTAACAACCCAGTCCTTTTTGTAGTTAAGTGAGCTTCCTCACAGCAGTGTCTTAACCGAGTATGTCTGTGGTGTGGATGTCTTTCAATGATGTCTCATGATCTCTCCAAGCTTGGGAATCCACTGTGTGACTGGTGTGGGTAGGAATGTTGTTGGTATTGACCTGTTATTCTTAGAAAATGCTACAAACACTGAGTGTCAGGACTTCAACGTCATGTAACATCTTTCAAGAGATAAAGGAGAGGGGTGCTGTGTTTTTTCCCCCTGCCTGGAGCCCCTTTGGTTATATGGGAACAATGGAGACTGCAACTGAAGCTCTACAACAGGAATGGAATATCCTCAACACTGCATCTTTAATGTGGGATGAAGATATCTGGTTTGTATGGTGATCCTCTGACCTTCTGTCCTTGACCCTGATCTTGTAACAGCTGTATCATGTCTGTGCATTGAAGTGTCACTGGAAGTCTTTCTTTGTATACAGAGAGAGCCCCAGCTTAATCTAGAGAATGTTCAGTTTTGTTCCTAAAGTGCAGAGATAGTATACATCTATTTTAGTAACTTATTAGATTTAGTTGCTGTCTGGTACATGGCTCAGTAACCATTCCTCCTTAGATATTTTGCATAACTACTAGCAATCATAAACCAGCACATAAGCAGGCCTAACGAATGTGGCGGGTTTAATTGTTTGTGCTGTTTGTAGGGGGGCATCTTCACAGAGCTCACCGAGCACACTAATCTATCAATTTATGTAATAAATGTTTGCTGCCTCTCTTTTATCTTTGCTGTAGGTTCTGCAAAGATTTCTGATGTTAAGGTGTGCTTTGTTTAATAATGAATCAAGATGGTGCTTGATTAAAAAATAAAATGGGTGCATTTACCTCTTGAATCATCTTGTCAGTTTCAGCAGTTGAAGCTCCTTGCGTAGGTTTAATTAAGGATCTCTGCCTTCTGCTTGCACCTGGTGAACTATATCTTCATTATTATCTTGTTTTCACACGTGTATCAAAATGCTCTCTTGCAGCCATCCATTTTCTTAGCAAAGTTTAGTTTGCGGGGGAGCCACTTTCTCTCCCAGCAAGCAACTGGCACAAGCACACGCTGAAGCCCAGGGCCATTTTTTCAAGAAACCAATTCACCGATCGCTGTGGTCTTGGACTGTGGAGGAAGACTTATCACAACCGACCACACGAGGGCATCGCTGCTTCCAGAACGCAGATTTCATTTTTTCAGACGCTGCATTTCCCCCACTTCTCCAGCAGAGGGGGGTGTTTCTCCTGAATTCGATTAAACCCTCAGGTCACTGCACGGCGGGGAAACACCCCTGGCGTTTAACCCAACAATATAACTCGGGTTCACGGTCTGTTGTTGATGTTCAATAAGGAACTGATGTTTACATGGATTTGTACATAATCAACCTAAAATTAAGGTTGTATATAATAATAATTCTTACACTTATGTAGCTCTTTTCGCGACTCTCCACTCAGAGCGATTCACAGGTAATGGGGACTCCCCTCCACCACAGAAAATGTGCAACCTCACATCAGCTATCAGTGGGGAGGAGAACAGAGTGATGACGCCAGTTCATAGATATGTAAAATCCACAGGGAAAAGCAATAGAGCGCTTTTTACTATTTAGTGTTTATAAATATAGAAGCCACCTGGCTTCTTTTTGTTCGATTGCTAGTAGCTAACTGGTCTGAGGCTCTCTCTGGTGCCTAAGGTCTAAGCTGGTCCAGTATGTGAAAGCATGGCTGGGCAGCTCATTCCACACTCCTACGGCTCTCTGTGAAGATGAGCCTGCTTTTCTCAGCCCCGTAGTCTGCACTAGTGCCTCCTGGGTCCCTGCTGATTCTGAAGAAGTCCACCGAGTAGACTTTATCAATGCCTTGCCCTTTCAACATTATCGATAGGTGCATCTGGTCTTCCCCCCACTGAAAAAGATTCAGTTTTCTTTGATTTGCCAGTGCAGGTTATTCCTTTGAGTCAGGAGTCGGCATATTTTTTTTCTGAGAAAGTTGGTGACAGTTGTAAACAGTATTCTAAATATTTTAATGCACTTCGCGCCAGAAATACGTAAAAGATGTTAAAGGAATAAGAGCTTAGGTAATGAAAAGGTTCCTCATCTCTATGGGAAACTGCTAATGTTTCTGTGTATATAATACCTTTTGTTTTCTCCTTTAATTAGACACCGATGTACAGCGTAATACTGGGTTTCTCCCCAGAAAGACTAAACAGTGAAATGGCAGTCCCTCTAGACTTGCAATCTAGCTGGTTTTAAAAACACACAGGTCATCCAACTGCTTTAACTGTATTCCAGGTATTGGGACTGAAGTTAAGCCAGGCATCCCCCCGTCAAGCCGGAATAATGAGCTGGACTTCACAGGAACAGGCCGGGACACCGGGGACGACCTCTGTGCTAATTCTCGCCAGGCAGCACAGCTGAAGGGGGGATTTGTTTTTTAGCTGCAGAGCCAAAGCGGTATGACGAACGGGTTTCCAAGGGGAATAAACAGATGCAGGCAGGAGGAAGCCACATCCCAAAGTCACATCCCACGGGGACTGGAGGTGAATGTGCGGAATAAACTGTGCCGCTGTGCGTCGCGTCTCGACTCGCTCTCCGCACATCCTGCTGCCTCTGACACACAATCTCGCAGAGAGAGAGAGACCCTCCGATGCCAGCGGCCGGACAAAGAGAAAGGTGGTGTCCAAGTACTTTCCCACCAGAAAACCGGGAAAGGAAATGCGCCATACACACGCGCAGAAAAATCCAATCTTCATTCCGCGTAAACCTGACTTCACGGGTCTCCCGGAGCCTTTGTAGGCACAGACCCGTAATCACAGTCTACCGCATCTTACCTTCAGCGCAGGGCGAAATCGGTGTCACCATCTCACCATCCACACACACACAGTAGTTACCCTACGTGTCCAAGAGGCAAAGGCGGACACTTAGACTGAGCTGAAATGGACTTTTAGGAGTTTCCCTCGGAGACGGGGAATCTGCCTCACTCTGACTGAGTTTCCCCCTCGGAGGGTCTTGCTGAAATCCGTAGTCCAAATCGACAAACAGGTGTCCCCCCGATGGGCTTCTTGTTCCCTGTAGGCTACAGCCCCAGCGACTCCACATGTGCCCGGGGGAAGGATTTCGTTTTCGAAAAGGCAACGCTGGATTTTCAAATCCGCTTATTCCGCTTAGCGCTTTGAGAAGCCACCTTTAAAGGCGCTATATAAAATAAAGTTTATTGTTATTATTTGCCCATCATTCACCCTCACGCCTCAGGGTCTGGCTACGACCTGAATGATCTTGTTCATCTAACTTGTTAATCGAGGATCTCCAAACACCTCTTGTTAACATGCTCCATATACTGTACCCAGTACTCCCTGTTTGGGAAAAAAAACTCTTTTTGCAGGAAATTTGTTTCCACTCAATTTCCAAAACTTCCTGAGTCACTATTCTGAGTCTAAGGTACCAAAATAGTATTCCCTTTCTGGAGTTTTTTTAAGACCTCAGAACTCCTTTGAAAGGAAGCCTAAAACCAAACTAGCTCTATTTTCTTGTAAGGGATACCCACCATTTCTCTGACATGGCCCTTTCTTCCTCAAATTCACGTTTTCTGTTCAAATATTTTGAGGTATCACTTTCAAAAAAGGCTTGAACGTGATATATTTAATGGGGAAAACATTCCCAATTCACAAAGAACGTCAAGATTATAAAGACATAGCATGTTTATGTGGTCTGGCACAATTTTCATCTCATCACACGTGGGCAGGAGAAAAATGCCCTTTTCTATGAAATGATATAGCTTCTAAAGCAGTAATCAGACTGTCATTGAAAGGCAATACAGCCGGCCGTCATTGAAAGTGGATTTTTGTGCATCGTGAATGTCCCATATTGTCATATTTTCTTATAATTTCTAACTTGGACCTATAACTGAGTTGTACGACTGTACTCTATAGTCTGGACAGAGGGAGCACGTGACAGTTAAACAGTAGCAGCAGGAAGATCATCTTAGTGCCCAGCAGGAACAAAATGCATGATTCGAGGTTTTGTGCAATCTACACAAAGGCTGAAAAAAATAAAAGCAACCAAAGCAGACAGTTTTAGAAGGAAAAAAACATTTATTTTGTCACATTTGCCCCACTATAAAACAGCCCTTTTACAAACATTCGGCTTAATACGTCATACAATGCAGGAACAAAACAATATAAAAAAAAAAGATTACTTGCAAAATTATATATATTTAATATCCAAAAAGTACATTGCATATATAAGTAGCAAAACCCCCCTTTCAGTCAGGGGTGGAGAGGAGGGGATGTGAAAGTTTATTTATTGCTATAATGCTACATAAGTCTCTTCTTTTGAAGCATCAAGACTTGCCCCAAATTGAAATTGCTTTAAGGTCATTGCAACATTGAAAACCAGTGCTGTTGCCCAAGCATAACATGTGGTACCCTTTACTCAATTCCTCTCAGTGGAAACCAGTGCAAAGACTGCCAGTTGCTCAGGAAGGCTGATCGCTTTTAATCAGCAGTAGGAAGGGAACTCCCTTTACAATAACCGATGAGACACGGGAACGTTCCAAAGGATCCGTGATTGTCAAAGAATCCAGGATTATGGCTCATTCAGGCACTTTTTGGTTGGGAAGGCAAGTAACAACGGTAGCTAGGAATGTATATTTGTGTGCCTAAGTAAGGCACTTTGGAGTAATTCAACCTGTATTTTCTATAAAAATCAGCAAAGGTTATTGCCCAAATGTACAGACACAAAACACACAATAAAAGATGTACAAATTACAAATCAGAAACTGATTTCTTATTTTGTCTGATAGTAAAAAAAAATTGCATTTTTGACCGAGGTCAACTCGTTTCTCTTTTTCTCTTGATCCTTTCAATACTGTGTTACATATGAAAATAACTCTGCATAATTTATACAGTAAGTTGCTTTAACAGCTAGTTGACCAATGTTTAAAAAAACAACAAAAAAATAGGTCTGACAAACGCACAGCGTTCGCGAATCTCAGGACTCCATTTTATCCTCATTGATTTTGCGCTTCTTTTTAGTCATATGTTAACTTTCAAAAGTTCTTGGCTCTAAGTCTGCCCTTGGCCTCTGAAGTCATTCTCATAAAATCTCTCTTGTTACAAATAGTGATGCCCTCTCCGGTATGAAGAATTTCAAACCCTTTTCCGAAAAAGAAATCTGTATGAAATGTCGAAAACAGCACAAAGAGAACTGGCCTGTTAAACTGCAACTGATACGGACAGGATCCACCTAGAGACTCCTTGGATTGTGAGCTGCTGAAAAAGGACTTTTCCGCACAATGGGGGCTGGAATTCCATTCAACAAATACTGTTCTAGAACAATGTCGCCTACGAGATCTAGAGCGGAGCTGGAAGACCCAAAAGTGAGCCTCCAGGACTGTGACTGTGAAGAAAAAGATACTCCAGGGCCCACAGAGCAATCACATTTTATGCTGGTCCAGTTCGTCAACATCTGATCACGAAGCTGTGGAACAACAGATAAAACACAATCTTAGGTCAAAGCCTCCATCTCCTGTGTTAAAAACCTCCTGAAAAAGGTTGCCAGAGCTTGGTTTTGGGTAATTCCAGTTGGGAGGAATACTTAAGCGCCAACACCATTGAGCTTTCCAGTTGCTAAAATCCCTCGTTGCTGAGATCTCTTTTCGTGGGGGAGTTCCGTGGGGATCCCAGATCACGCTCCAGAAAAGCCAAAGCACACGAAAGGGCGGAGGAGAAAGAAGGAACGAAAAAAGGAAACTGCAAAACCCAGCGCCAAAACGCTTCGGACGTCTGGTGAACAAGCAGCTTGCTGTGATTGGAAGGGGACAGGTTCAGGACCGACTGAAGTGGGACCCATGTCTGACTGTGACTGCCTCTGCGTTTCCTCAATGCCAGGGTCAGCCTCAATACCGCCGCAGAAGTCTGTTCCCACTGACCGACACTGCAGCTTCCTCTCGAGGCAGGAATAACACACAAACAAACACACAAGCGTCAAACTCGACAAACAAAACCGAACAGAAGCTGTTCAGCAGGAAAGGAAGTAGTACTGTACTCCATTTACAAGCGGATCATAGGTCCAGTTTTTTCCCCCCTCTTTTCCAATGCCTTCATTCTGATCGTTTGTTTGGTTGTCGTTTTTTTTTTTTTTAAATCTGTCACGTGTTTTCACAAGTTCCAAAAAAGATCCCCGGGAGGAGAGCTTCCCGGGAATCGGAGTGCAGGTCCGAAGGGAGAGAAAAGAAGGCGGGCAGTCCTTAGTAGTAGCTGCCGAGGTGCGAGGACACGTGGGTGTTGGGATGGCGGGGAACGCTGGGATTGGGATAGATCCCTCCGGCTGGGGAGCTCCAGTAAGGGGAGGGGGGTCCGAAGAAGTTGGAGGAGGTGACGGGCATGGAAGGAGGGTGGGGAGAGACAAAGTTCACCTTCTGCTGGTGGGCGTGGTAGGAGGGCACGTAGGCCAGGTCAGAGGGGTACTTGTACATGGAGGATTCGGTGGGGTGGGGCTGCAGGGCCTGGGCGATGCCGTGGAAGTCGAACTTGTAGGCGTAGCGCTTGCCGTGCACCTTGGTCATGATGTTCTTGTCGTAGTAGTAGCGCAGGGCCCGGCTCAGCTTGTCGTAGTTCATGTTGGGCTTGCTCTTCCTCTCCCCCCAGCGCCGGGCCACCTCGTCCGGGTCGGTCATCTTGAACTCCCCGTTGGTGCCCTCCCAGGTGATGCAGCCCGCGTTGGCGCTGTCCGACAGGAGCTCCAGCAGGAACTGCCACAGCTGGATCTGCCCGGAGCCTGGACAACAAGAGCACGTGTCAAGTCCGGGGGTAAGGTCGTGAGCGTTTCGGCCTCACGTGGTCCCTCATGGACATGGTGATGGGAGATACAAAGCACGTACATCAACCATCATCATCATCATCATCGGCTCACCACACACCAGCTCTCAGTGGGGAGGAGAACACAGTGATGAAGCCAGTTCATAGATGGGGATGATTAGGAGACCATGATTGGTAAAGGCCAGGGGGAAATTTGGCCAGGACATTGCAGTTTTGAGAAATGCCCTGAGGTTTTTAATGACCACAGAGAGTCAGGACCTCGGTTTTATGTCTCATCCAAAGGATGGTGCCTTTTTAAAGTATAATGTCCCCATCATGATACTAGGGCATTAGGTCCCACACAGACCGCAGGGTGAGCACCCTCTACTGGTCCCACTAACACCACTTCCAGTAGCAACCTTAGCTTTCCCAGGAGGTCTCCCATCCAGGTACTGACCAGCCTCACACCTGCTAAATTTAATTGGGGCTACCAGTTGTCAATTGCAGGATGATATAGCTGCCGGACAGTGTATATCAGTATATCGCCAGTGGCCAACCCTCAACTAAACCAAACAAAGGTGTGAAAATAAACTTTTCACAACTTCTCTTTCCAATATAACAACATAAATGGGTCAATCATTCAGCCATTCAACTCAAGAGATGGGCAAGCCAGTAATTATGCTTCTGATTCCTGACAGTTATGTCATCTTAGGAAGCACCTTCACTTTGAAAAAAACACTTCAGGGCTTGTTTCTGCTGCTGCAAACAGTTTTCTAGCTGCTGCACATCATCTGTGAGTCATCTGCTGCCACACCCTGCCTGGACACAGCTACACAAGGCTCACTGGAGCCTGAGATTCCCAGTGATGCTGACTGACTGATTGACCTATGTGCGAATGCAGAGAGAGCCTGATCAACCAGCCCATCAAGATATCCTAACGAGCCCCTTCAGGTATGAAAGCTTCACATTTACACTCTTTAAAAAAGACTTAGTGTGGGAAAGAAGATTTAATGTGAGATAATTCTGCTGTCTTGCTAGTGAAGGTGCTGCCTTGCTTTAACTGAGGTCACCAGTTTGCCACGAGGACCTGCTTTCTCTCTGCACACCTGATAACACGAATGCATTGCAGCTGTCTTAAAGGAGCATTTCTGGAGGCAAAGAAAGAAGATTTAATGATGGACTATCTGGTAAATAGCTCTTCATTCTTACCTGGGTTGGCTAATCGACTGCTGGTCGGACCCAAAATCTGGTAAGGATCTGAGGAGACAACATTTATTTAAGCAAAGGGGGGATAATCAGGTTGGTCCAACTTTTGCTAATTCATTTAAGTGATGCTTTTAACCAAAGCAAGTTGCATTGCCATCCATTTCTACAGCTGAGCAATTCAGGTTCCTCGCGCAAGGGTACAACAGCATTGTCTCGCCTGGGATTGGAACCTGCAACCATCTAGATCCCTGACTCCTGCTGCACATTGCTTTCCTTGTTCTTGGAGGGTTGGTCCACTTCTAAGCCCTTTTAGGCATTGTTGCTTTATATCTGGAAGACGTTGGGCAAACTGATCTTAAGCCAATTACAGTACTGGTATGTCTCAAGAGCGAACTGGGATTGAAATTCTTGATCACCTTGATCGCGCACGAGGACAGAGATGCAGGAATCATCTGCATCCATCATGACAGCATTGCCATTGATCATTGTGTCCAAGTGCCCTGTGATTTCAAATTAACGCAGGTCAATGATAATGCACATTACTGTAAAAGTGAAATATTGTTACCTACCAGGCTGTGGTCTTTGCTGTTCTGAGGTCTTGGACACATTCTGTGTGACTGCTGGTGAGCCTGTAAAACATATTTTCAACAACTGAGCTCAGGCAGGGAACTATGTTGTACTTGTTCATTTAAAGGGCTATAAGCAGAGAGCTGCACCTCTACAAAAAGGAACCTAAAATGATTCAAGGGCTGTTGCACTTATTCACTACTGCTGACTAATTGGATACTGGACATTAGAATTTGGGAAAATAAGCTCTTAAGTTCACTTTTTTGTGAAACAAAAAATAATGGTCTGTTGTATTCCTGTAATGTCATTAAAGTACTTTTATAAAGTCATAGTGGTATTAATACATGTCTTTGAGACATTATTTGAGCCCAAGAGATTCATTTTGATCCAGATTCTACTGATTTAAAAAAATCAACCAGCACTCATTATCAGTGTGAAAAAGTGCACCCCTTGATTCAGCAAATTGTGGCATTCCTTAAGCAGTGTAGCTTGAATTACTCTTTTCCTGTAAGAGTTGATCAGTCTGTCCTGTCACCTGAGAGGAATGCTGGCCCACTGCTCCTTACCAAACTGCTTCAGCTCTGTATGAGGGCTTTTGTATATGTTTAGCAATCTATGAGATTTAGGTCTGGACTGTAACTTGGTTATTCCAAAATCCTGAATTTCTTTTTTATCCATTCTGTTGTAGATTTGCTTGTGTGTTTTGGATCATTGTCCTGTTGTTCAGCTTTAGCTCTTGGACAAAAGGTCCTTCATTTTCCTCTAGGGTAGTCTGGTATAGTGTGGAATTCATGGTAGACTACCATGATTGCAATGTCCTGAGCAGAGCAGGCCCAAACCAGCATCGTGCTTGATGGTGATGAGGTTCTTCTGGTCAGTCAAAGGCGTGTTTGGTTTTCTCCAAACGTTCCATTTTGTTTATTAGCCAAACAGCTCCACTTTTGACTCATCTGTCCAGAGCACATTGTTCCAGACGTCTTGTTTTTAAGCCCTGCAGCAATGTTCTTCATGAACAGCAGGAGTTTCTTCCAGCCTATTCTTCCATGAAAGCCATGCTTGTCCACTCTTTCCTGATGGTGGTGACATTCACCACAGCGAGAGAGGCCTGTAGATCCGTGGGTTTCCTTGAGACTTCTACCAGAATCATACAGTCCGATTTCAGAGTTTTTTTAGTAGGACAACCACTCCTGGGTAGACTGGCAATGGTCTGGAATTTCCTCCATTTGTAGATTTTTTTGTTGTAGAATGATGTTGTTGATGGACTAAATGATTACCTCTACATATCAGCCATATCAGGGTGATAGCAGGGTGATCACCCTGCAACTCACAACTGGCAGCCCACTGAAGCTCAGCAGGTGTGAGCCTGGTCAGTAC